GTTCAAGCCCCGCGTCGGGCTCTGTGCTGACAGCTCAGAGCCTGGAGCCTGTTTCAGATTCTGTGTCTCCCTCTCTCTGACTCTCCCCCTTTCATGCTCTGTCTCTATCTCAAAAATAAATAAACGTTAAAAAAAAATTAAAAAAAAATAAATAAAATAAGACTGAAATATAGTTAACATACAGTGTCACATTAGTTTCAAGTATACAACGCAGTGATCTGACAACTCTATACTATGCTAAGCTCACCACAGGTATAGCTACCATCTGACACCATACAACACTATTATAATACCACTGACTATATTCCCTACGCTGTACCTTTTATTCCTGTGATTTATTCCATAACTGGAAGCCTGCACCTCCCATTCACCTTCATCCATTTTGCCTATCCCTACTCCTCCCTTCTGGGAGCCATCAATTTGTTCTCTGTATTTATGGGTCTGTTTCTGCTTTTTGTTTATTTTTGTTTTTTAGATCCCACATATAAATGAAATCATAGCATACTTGTCTTTCTCTGTAGGACTTATTTCATTCAGCATAGTACCCTTTAGGTCCCACCATATTGCTGCAAACGGGAAGATCTTAAAGTCTGAGTAATATTCCACTGTGTGTGTGTGTGTGTGTGTATACATATACACACACACACACGCACACACACATATACATACTACATCCACTTTTTCCATTCATGTATGGATGGACACCTGGGTTGCTTCCATATCTTGGCTATTGCAAATAATGCTGCAATAAACATTGGGGTACATATATCTTTTCAAGTTAGTAGGGTTTTTTTGTTTTGTTTTCTTTGGGTAAATACCCAGTAGTGGAATTACTGAATCATATGGCATTTCTATTTTCAATTTTTGATGAACCTCTATACTGTTTTCCACAGCATCTGCACTAATTTATATTCCTACCAACAGGGCAGGAGGGTTCCTTTTTCTCCACATCCTCACCAACACTTGTTACTATTATTTTTTAAGATTTTATTTTTAAGCAATCTCTACACCTAACGTGGGGCTCGAATTAACAACTGTGAGAACAAAAGTTACATGCTCCTCTGACTGAGCCTGCCAGGCTCCCCTATTTCTTTTCTTCCTTTTTAAGTTTATTTTGAGAGGGAGAGACAGAGCAAGTGCAAGCAGAGGGGGGCAGAGAAAGAGAGAATACTAAGCAGCCTCTGCACTGTCAGTGCAGAGCTAGAAGTGGGGCTCAATCCCACCAACAGTGAGATCATACCCTAAGCCAAAATCAAGAGTCAGATGAGTCCCTCTTATGTTTTTAATTTTAGCCATTCTGACAAGTGGGAGATGCTGTATCATTGTGGTTTTGATTTGCATTTCCCTGATTAGTCATTTGAGCACATTTTCATGTATGTTTGCCATATGTATGTCTTTTTTTGAGATGACCATTTATTCTTTTTGATGTTTATTTTTGAGAGGGAGAGGGAGAGACAGAGAGAGAGAGAGAGAGTGCAAGCAGGGGAGGGGCAGAGAGAGGAGACACAGAACCTGAAGCAGGCTCCTGGCTCTGTGCTGATAGCACACAAACCATGAGATCATGACCTGGGCTAAAGTCAGAAGCTTAACCCACTGAGTTACCCAGGTGCCCCAGCGGAGATGACCATTTGTTCTGGATTATTTCAGGTGCAGATCTCTTAGATGGCAGGTTCAGCATAATGCGTGTCTATGATAATGCTAAATATCAGAATGACCTGAATGCAAACATTCATAATTTATGAAAAAGATGAAACTGCAGAGTAATAAAGGATGGTCTTTTCCTTTCCTTTTTTTAGGTTTATTCATTTATTTTGAAAGAGAGCTCACAAGTAGGGGAGGGGAAGAGAGGGAGGGACAGAGAGAAACCCAAGCAGGCCTATGCCCAACATGGAGCTCAAAGTGGGACTTACAACTGTGAGATCAGGACCTGAGCTGAAATCAAGAGTGGGATGCTTATGGGGCACTTGGGTGGCTCAGTTGGTTAAGCATCCGACTTCAGCTCAGGTCATGATCTCATGGTTCGTGGGTTCAAACCCCAAGTCAGGCTCTGTGCTGACAGCTCAGATTCTTTGTCTCCCTCCCTCTCGGCACCTCCCCTGTTTGCACTCTCTCTCGCTCTCAAAAATAAACATTAAAAAAAATTAAAAACCAACCAACAAAAAAAGAGTGGGATGCTTAACTGACTGAGCCACCCAGGTGCTACAAGAGTCCAATGCTTAACTGACTGAGCCACACAAGTGCCCCAGGATGGACTTTTCTTTTTTAATTTTTTTTTTTTAACGTTTATTTATTTTTGAGACAGAGAGAGACAGAGCATGAATGGGGGAGGGGCAGAGAGAGAGGGAGACACAGAATCGGAAGCAGGCCCCAGGCTCTGAAGCATCAGCCCAGAGCTCCACGCGGGGCTCGAACTC